AGATTTGTATTTCTTTTTTAAATATTTCCCAAAGGATGTTAAACAGCAAGGAAAACTCCCCTCTCTCCATATGAAATAGGAGGGAGCCCCGGGCTCGAGGATCTTCTGAGCTCAGGGCTCTCTCCTTGGACAGCATGCCAAACATGCTTATCAATCATCAGCTAAGTGTGAACTCTTGAATAAAACATAAACTAATTATTACAGGCCCAACATAAACAACTGACCAAATAAAACATGTAATTATAAATTAATTTAATGTTTTATCACAAACTAAATATTTTACAACACCACAAAACAAACAAAAGAGCAAACAAAAGAGCATAATATAAAATATGACAGGCTTTGTATGTTGTCCATATGATCTACAGTATTATCATATGCACAGCACTACTTGTGCATGCATGCAAACAAACTTACTGAAAGTGCTAATGAGAAATCTGCTTTGTGGCGCCAGTCGCACTCCTAAATGCGTGCTTGTTAAGCGTGTGGCCCACCAGCTGGCAACTGCGCCTTGGGATCTATTTCAAACTCTATCCACATTTTGAACATGTATAAGGTAATACAAGGGAGGTAAGTGTAAGTATAGCAGGTCTTTTGTGCAGCAGAGGTCATACGTATTGACTGAGAGTACGTCTGGTCCTCTTATAAGGGGAGTGTGAGCTCTGACCTGCCATAGCAAAACACACACTCCAGACGGTTTCAGATGTTCATGCTGGCAATGAATGGTTGAGAACAGCTTTTTTCCTAGTCTGTGTTTGTCATTTCTTCCCCTTTTTAGATATTTGTCAAATACATGCATCTCTCCCAGTAGCAGACTAATAATTTTTTGAACAGTGTTTTGTCGCCTGTTTATTATGTATAGACCATTTCAATGTAGTCATGTCATTGCTCTATGAACATTTCCTGCTTGTTATCAAACTGCAACAACAGGCAATTCAATCATAAATTAACACTAACACAGCCGTCATAACATATATGTGGCTCCTTTTGGATTCTTTGAAGCTATAGAAATTAAACATATAAACATAAAATACATTGGAACCATTGTTTTTGTTAACGTCCCGCAAAATGGTTTATGCTAGGGCTATACGATATTGGAACAGTTTGACATTGCTTTATTTTGTTTATTAGAGGTGTATATTGCAATAGGAATACATATCTACCAGATGGCTTAAATAGCTCTATTTGGAAAAAAAAATCTTGAATTTAGATTGATTGTGGTGATTTCATAAAGGTGTGAATCATGTATAGAAATAACAAACAAATTTCAAGCAAGAAAAAAAACAATAGGGCAAAGAAAAAAGTTAAACAAACAGTGCTTTATGGGTTTCCAGAGAGTCAAGCAGTATTCAGGTAGAAAACTGAATAATAAAATGTTAAATAACAGTTTATAATCTATTAATATTCAAGTAAAATTATTCTTCATTAATGTTACAAATGTTGTAGATTTGATTCTTTTGAAATGCCTTTAAAACACATGCAAATGATAAACATTCACTCTGTTTAAACATTCACTCTGATTAACTATGAGCCCAACTCAACATTGCATGTGATGTGACTATTGCAAACACACACTGTGATATTGTGAGTGCAATGTGTCAACAGGCACCCTTCTTTGCGGTCATGTAGTAAAATTCATTTATTATGGAAAAATCTATTTAAATATCTCTCTGATAGGCGAAGCGGTGACGTAGTAGGTAGTGCTATCGCCTCAAAGCAAGAAGGTCGCTAGTTCGAGCCTCAGCTGGGTCAGTTGGAGTTTCTGTGTGGAGTTTGCATGTACTACCTTCGTTCGTGTGGGTTTTCTCCAGGTGCTCCGGTTTACCCCACAGTCCAAAGACATGTGGTACAGGTGAATTGGATTGGCTAAATTGCCCGTAGTGTATGAGTGTGTATGAATGTTTCCCAGATGGGTTGCAGCTGGAAGGGCATCCGCTGTGTAAAACATATGCTGGATAAGTTGGTGATTCATTTCGCTGTGGCGACCCGGATTAATAAAAGGATTAAGCCGAAAAGAAAATGAATGAATGAATGAAAATCTCTCTGATGTGTATTCAAATGATCTGGAATCTGATACTTGTGACTTTTAAGAGCAGAGGATGCTTCTCATAGTAAAAACTAAATGCAATTTTACTTTGTATTAGTATTGCAAAAAAAAAAAAAAAAAAAAAAAAAAAAAAAAAACGTTCTACAGATGTGGAAAGCTGGTGCTTAAAACATGGTCTGAGATTTATATTAAGTGACAAACTGTCCATGTTTAACAAGATTTGGAAAACAATTATGCTATTTCTTGCAGGTAGACTGAAATGTTATTTATGTGAAATTTTCACAAGTGTACTGTATATCTTTTATTTATTTATATTTTTGTTTGCTTGCTTATTTTATAATTACTTTGTTTCCTTTGGTTTCATTGACGGATTATATCCCATCAAAGTTTTTGTCCCAGCCAACTTTAGAATGTAGAATAGTTGCAAGTAACAAGTCAGTTTTATTCCTTCATTGTGTGCCTTTTCTTTCTTGTTTTTATAAACCAATAAGCACTGTTCTTTTTTTGTTTTTATAAACCTTCTACAAACATTATAATGTGTGTTAGATGGGTGGGTGGGAGGTACAGTAGGGCTTTGAAGGTGCTTTCACATTTGATTCAATTGCCTGGTCCAGGGGTCAGCAACCCGCGGCTCTTTAGCTCTGCCCTTGTGGCTCCCTGAAGTTTTTTCAAAAATGTTCAAAAAGATGGGGAAGGTTAGTATATATTTGTGTTTTAATATGATTTCTATAGGAGGACAAACATTTTAAACGTTTTCAAATGCTGTAAAAGTGTGTGGAATTAATATTTAATTTCAACATTTCTGTCAACGAAGATTTGCGTCATAGCCTGCGACACAGGTTTCTATCAGCAGGGTGGGATGCCGGGCAGGTGGCTGTTGTAAACAAACCGGGAGATAATAAAGCATGGAAAACCGTTCACAGATGGAGACTACATGAAGGAGTCATTCATCAACATATTAGAACACCTATTTGCAGACTTCAAAAACAAAACCAAGATAATTAAAAAAATTAAAGATTTACCTCTCTCCGCTAAGACAGTGAAGGAAAGGGCTATTAAAATGGCAGGTAACATCACCGATCAGCAAACCAAGGACATTAATTCAGTGCCAGCATACTCAATTGCCTGTGATGTGACCGATATTCAATGCGCTTTTATGCAGGTATGTGAACTCTGATGGGCCGCAAGAAGAAATGATCAAATTAATATCACTGAAAGACCAGAGGCTGTGCTGAAGTGTTTAAATGACAACGAAATAAACACCAACCACCTGATATCAGTGGCTATTTAATCATGAAGGCTCATTATGTATTTGTAGCCAACTTAGTCATTTTTTTAGTAGGCTAATATAGCTACTATAGATACAGCATGTGTTTCCTTCATTATAAGGCTTATATAAGGCTTTACATTTTTTGCGGCTCCAAACATATTTGTTTTTTGTTTTTTTTTGGTCCAATATGGCTCTTTCAACATTTTGGGTTGCCGACCCCTGGTCCAAACCCAAGTTTGATTGTCCCCCACTTACCACCTTCTTAGCTAGTTTTTCTTCACACCATCTTTTTTTTCTTCTGAACCCCGGTGTGATTGTGTCATCCAGCTGCTGTTGTGTGAACAGCTATTTCTGTGATGTTTTCCAAAATAAAAAAAGATGTATGCACATTACTGTTGTTCTGCTTTTACTAAATCGTTTGGTGTTGGTAACATACAGAGAGTGACTTGCATCTATCTGCCGCAAAAATATTAAAAACGTTTAGAACATAACGCAATGTCTGCAGATATCATTTTTGGAGGAGACAAGCAGACATTATCACTGTGTTTGCACTGGGTCAGTTCAACTTGACCCCAGGGTAATGTTAGGTCATACACAGACACACAGGAATAAACGTTATGAAAACTAAAGTTTGTTGTACAGTTGGTGGTTCACTTCCGTTATTTGTAATGTAATGTGTATTTATATAGCGCATTTATCGTGCATGACCATACACTCACAACCATGAGGGGGAGGGGGGGTCTCTCCACACCACCACTAGTGTGCAGCATCCACTTGGATGATGCAACGACAGCCACAGGACAACAGCACAAGTGCACGCACAACACACCAGCTATTAGTGGAGTGGAGAGACAGTGATACGGCCAATTTTGTGAATGGGGATGATTGGGAGGTCATGATAGGTAAGGGCTGATTGAGGAAATTTGGCCAGGACACCGGGGTTACACCCCTACTCTTTACAGGAAGTGCCATAAGATTTTTAAAGACCACAGAGAGTCAAGACCTTAGTCTCATCCGAAAGACGGCGCCCACTGAGCAGTATAGTTTCCCCTTCACTTTCGGGGCATTAGGACTCACACAAACCACAGATTGAGCTCTGCCTGCTGGCCTCACTAACACCACCTCCAACAGCAACCTAGTTTTCCCATGTGGTCGGCCATCCAGGTACTGACCAGGCCCTGCCCATGCTTGGCTTCAGTGAGTAACCAGTCTTGGGCTGCAGTGTGATATGGCTGTGGCATTTGGTATGATTACATTCATTTGAGAAGTGAACAAGACCAGAGCTTTTTCAGGCAGACTCAGGTACAGTTCGTGGGTGCACATCTGAGTTCAGAAGACATCATTCACACTAGCTAGATGTACTGTACTTTGATGTTAAACAAACCAGGGTGTGGACCAAAAGTGCTAGTGTGAAAGCTTCTTTTTGTAAGTACAGTCTACTGTAGTATAACAACAGTACTTGCTAGAGTCTCAATATATGGCACATAGGTGATACTTTATGTATACTTTATGTATAAAAAAGAAACTCAAAGGTTTAAAACCCCTTGAGGGTGAGTAAATAAAAATTTCTTGGCAAACTATCCCTTTAGCCAGACATGGTTTGCAAAAGATGAGTGTTGCATTGTGTATGAGCAGGTAATTGGGGAACAGGTGTGGGGTTGTGTGTGTGTGTTTTTCACTAACCGTCTGTTTAATATCAGGAATGCCAATTCGAAAGACCATCAGAGCTACGTGTGTGTCGTCAGGTGCGTTGCTGGAGCTCCGCTCTCGTAGCTTCCTCTGCGGTTGCTGCTGCTGCTGATTGGTTGACGTTTGGTGGGTTGGTCCAGGATTGGACGAATAAGGGTTGGCCGCATGGCCCGGGTTGCCGGGTCGAATGGGTCTGTCTCCTGGGAGTCGTCCAGCCATTGTGCCTTTTTGCCTGTGCCCCTCTTCCCTGCCTCCTCTCAAATGCCCTGGTCCTCGCCTGATGTCATCTTCATCGTCCACTTCCTCTTCATCGTCCATCTCCAGCTCTCCGTTCTCCTCCTCACCTTCCTCGTCCATGCCATCATCGTCCATTTCCTCTTCCTCCTCCTCTTCCTCTTCCGCCCCTGGATAAAGGTGTTGACTGTTTCCCAGCATCCTTTGCTGCTCCTCGTCGCTGGAGAGGGGGCTGAGCGGCATCGTCATGGCGACAGGGAGAGTGGCACCAGCGGCAACGGCATCATCCCCAGAGACACACTGTGAAAAGAGAGGAGGAGTGCAGGCATGAGAAACAGCGAGAGGTGGATGATGAGAGGAGGAGAGAGCAGACCGAGAGAACACAAGTAGGAGTTGGACAGAATCTAAGAGAACAAATAATCCCACATCACTCCATCACTCAGAGCCTCCCAACAAGCCACAACAGGCTGTTCATGCAGGACGTTTTCTCGCATGCATTGTTAGACATGCACCACAGAGACTTTTCTGACTGCTGCAATGTGCCTCACTGTTTTAAAGCATCTCGCGCCATGAACACTGAGATCTGAAAATCAGCGGAATGGAATGGAAACTCCATTTAACTTCAAATGATGTCTTGGTCACACTTTATTTTGATGGTCCATTTGTTGAATTTAAGTTACATTACATCTACAGGCCAACTAATTCTTATTAGATTATGAGTACACTGTTAAAGGTTGAGGTTAGTGTAAGTTGACATGTACTTGCAAAGTTTCTTATAGTCAGTTAAATGTCTGTTGAAGGAGCAGTATCAATCGATATTAAGCAGACAATCTACTAATACTCAAATGGACCATCAAAATGTTGTCTTACTGATATCTAAAATTTAAAAAGACGTAGCACAGTGGTTAAAGACGTCCATCTAGGACAGGGGTTCCCAAACTTTTCAGGCCGCGACCCCCAAAATGACAATGCCAGTGACTCGTGACCCCCAATATCCTCTGAGGTGGTTATAAATACAGAAACCTTGCATGCAATGGCGCACACACACACACCAATGAACCCAAGTCTATTCTTCTTTTAATTTTTTTTTTTTATGTACAGTATGAGAGCTGTAAATGGGCCACAAAGTTTAACCAGGTGTTATGAAATCTGCTGCATCTGACGCTATTGCTGTGTCTTTAATACAATGCAATTACCCCAGGGGTTGCAATCCAATAGAAGTAGTAACTATAAGCTACTATAGTAACTATATATGGTATAAACGACTATTTTTTTTCTCTTCAGAAGGTTATGGATAAAATATGGTAAATCTTATGGTTTAATGAAAATAAATAGATTTTTGGAAACCACCAGGCGACCCCCCTTCATTGTTCCGCGACCCCTCGGGGGGTCCCGACCCCCACTTTGAGAACCATTGATCTAGGACATGTTTACAAACAATACCAATATAGAACTGCACACACACAATAACACTTCCCATGTAGTTTCTAAAAAACTTCTGTTAAAAATGTGTTAATGTCACCCTGAGCACCAAGTCTGTTAAAATGTTTAACATTAGGAATGAAATCTGCCGTGAATGGTAAATGTTTTAGACATTTTACATTTAGACATTGACATTGACATTTTAGAACTCAAGTTTAGAGGCCAAGCGGCAACGTTTAAACCACCGAAAATCCAAAGGACCCCAAATTACAACTTAAATAATGAAAACAACCTAATTTAATATCATTTCAGCAGTTTTACTAACTTTAAAATACTCTTTGTAGCTGTCTGGTGTTTCATTGTTTTATGTAAAAAAAATAATAATAATAATCAAAAATAAAACATGATAATGAAAGTGATCATTTAAAAAACATACAACACAAATAACTTAGTAAATAAATTAAATTTGGCTGACACGGTAGCTCAGTGGTTAGCATTGTCACCTCACAGCAAGAAGGTCAAATTATATAAGAGAATTGAATAAACTAAATTGGCCATAGTGCGTGTGTGTGTGTATGTGTGTGTGCGTGTGTGTGTGTGTGTGTGTGTGTGTGTGTGTGTGTACGTGTTTTTGTGACATTTCAGGACACAAATCTGTATAATGAAATGGGTATGACACAGGTATTACAAAAAGGGGGTGAAATATGAGGACATTGGTGACGTCTTTCTTTCAGAGAGTAAAGCTGTACACTGTCTCCTGTGATGGTTGGGTTTAGGGGTAGGGTGGGGTGAGTTGAGGGCAATATAATATACGGTTTGAACAGTTTAAAATGAATGGAACCCACTTTTCACAAAAAAAAAATTGTGTGTGTGTATGTGTGCTTGTATGGATGTTTCCCAATACTGGGTTGCAGCTGGAAGGGCATCCATTTTGTAAAACATATGCTGGATAAGTTGGCAGTTCACTGAATGAATAAAAGGACTGATGAATAAAGGGACTAAGCTGAAGGAAAATGAATGAATAAATGAAAAAACTAAATTTAAAATAACTTTGAAAAACTTTCAAAGTTTAAAATACTCAAAGTATTAAACTGTAAACATCTATTGAGCACGGATAATTTAGGGCAATTTTAAATTTTAATAATAAATATAATAACGACTACTACTAAAGCTACGACTACTACTACAAGTACGAGTAACGTTAAAGTAGTACGTTAACTTTCAGTCTAAGCCAGGGGTGCCCAAACTCGATCCTGGAGAGCCGGTGTCCTGCAAAGTTTAGTTCCAACCCCAATGAGACACACCTGGGCTAGCTAATCAACCTCTCTCACTTGGTTTTCTAAACATCCATGCAAGTGTGTTGGAGATAAAATCTGCAGGACACTGGCCCTTCAGGACCGAGTTTGGGCACCCCTGGTCTAAGCTATGCCAGACATGCACTTCCGATCCAAGTGCGACAGGCTTTAGAATTATGTTAACATTTTAAATTATGTAAACATAAAGCTTAACATTTGCACTTCTTTTAAGCACAAATTATAATAAAAAATACCTTTATCATATGCCTGACACAAGCCACAATTTGTTTAACACTGTTTTAGAGGATGTCTTCTGTACATCATGATAAAACATATATTTTCAGGTTCTATTGTTACATATTACAACAGAATTAAAGCCAAGTTAAATGTTTATTGTTCTTTGCCCACAATTCAGATTTACTTAAAAAAAAAACAAAAAAAACAGAGATGCCTAAAGTAGGGCCTGCAGGCCAAAGTTGGCCCATTGTAACCTTTGATTGGGCCCATCAGCCTATCTGAGAAGACGAGGATGGAGAGGGTTAGTGAAAATGCCTTTAAGAGAGATCGTCATTTCTAATTTGACGTAACCTCTTTTGTTAATTTCATTGCTGAGCTACAAAAAAAAAAAAAAAAGCTAACTGAAATGAAATGTTTCAATTAAATGTTGTAAATGAATCAGATTTTTAAAATGTAATTTAATGTAATTTTTTTTATGGAAATACTGTCACTCAACAGATTGAGGACTATGCAGAAGACATCGGTGAGCAAATCAAGGCAAACATTAATGTAACTCCAATCTGTTATAAATGAGATTGTTTTTGTATTTACTGTAATAAGTTCATTATTAAATATTAAGGAATTATGCTGTGTTAGTTCATATAAAGCAATGTTTTCTAGTTATTATTAAATATTATTAAATAAATGAGGAAATTACTCATGGCAACTATATTTATCTTTGGCCCACTAGCCTCAATCAAGTTTGGTATTTGGCCCTTCAAAAAGAAAAGTTTGGGCACCCCTGGTTTAAACATTAGGCTAGGGCTGCACGATATTGGAAAATTGTAATATTGCTATTTTTGTTTTTCTGCGATATACTGTATCTAAATAATTTCCCCAAATGATTGGATAACACTATTTGGAAAGAATTTATAGTGCCGTTTTAGTTTAAGGTTCAACTCTTGATATTAGCAAACAAGTAACAATGACTTTTAATTCAATGACCTCCTAATTAGCTCCTTTTTATTAGTTATTATAGTATTTTAGGTATTGGGTAGGATTAGGAATATATATTAAGATCATGCAGAATATGTAGTTTATAAGTACTAATAAGCACATATCTTAAAAACATGGATGCTATAATCAACCAGTTTATAAAGAGAATTGGTCGCTACAGTATTACAGAATGTAATGATTAAGATAATTCTGTAGGAAAGTGAATCATCCATAAAATGTAAATAACAAATTGCAAGCATAAGATAAATGCAAAAAAGCATAGATAAAAGTTAAATAAACAGTGGATGCTTTATGGTTTTGTATAAATAAGTGTAGAAATTAAACTGCAAAGTCTTTATTGTATTAATAAATTAATACAATTGTTCATTATTAAGCTTCCAGTTGGTAACATTTTTTTGTGCCTGAAAACTTTAATCTCTCTCAGACCTTATTAAACATGCTAATCATAAAAGGTCACTCCATTGTAGTTAAACTCAGTACCAACATCGAAGCAACAATCCCAACATTGCATATATATGCAATGAGACTATTGCAGATGCACATTTTAGTATATTGATGCTGAAACGATATATATTGTGCAGCCCTACATTAGGCTGTTTCTAAGCAAAACAAAAAGCACCATCAACACGTTAATACATTTGCAATACAAATGCTCCTGTATTGCTTTTTAAGCATTGTACTAGCTATTTGTTTTAGGTCCCTTTAAGAACAACTCAAATTTTCATGCCGCCTACATTCTGTTCTATTCCATCGCACACTGTCTATCTGCTTATGAATGCAACATCAGACTCTTTGGGGACGGCCGATTCTCATTCACAGACTACCACCGCCTACCCCTGGTGTCCCACTCACCCTTATGCAAAACAAACCCACGTCTTACAGTGACAAGGATGAACTCATCACGTACAGACACTCATGCGCTGCTTGTGTTACAGCAGAGAGATGATGTTTGGCTCCCCCAAAACACACACACTCATTCACCTCTTGTATTACAGCACAGACAGGCCTACATCCTTGTACACATACACAGACAAAAACAGCACTCAGAGCAGTGCTGCAACTCCTCATGCAGTATGTCCCAGATCAGTAACAAAACCCACTGAAGAACAGCAATCTCAGGTCCTGAGAGTCTCACCTTCAAACAGCCCTCTTCAAAACAGGATTACTGTGTTTAACAGAGGGAACAAAATACGCTTCTGTAGTGCCACTCACATCAAGCTGCTGTGGGGCTCAGATGCTGCACCTACACTTTAGACGTGGAGGAGATCTTACGACAATGTGCCTTGTTCTTGTGCCAGTCTGCTGTAAGCCCTGTGTGTGTTCGCTGTTACCCAAACAATCAAAACCCTA